ACCCATACCTCAAAGAAGAAAAGACGCCATTAGCAGAAACTTTGGCGCTCCGCGCGGATTTCTTGGATCCGCGCCGGGCCCACCCCCGTGCGGCGCCTCCGGCGCCGCCCCTGGCGCCGCGCGTCACGGAGGGGGGTCAGCGCAGATCCAAGAACATTCGTTTTTTTTTGTTTCCTTGTGCCGCTACCCTTCTCTCGTTTCCCCCTTTGGGGGCCTCCTAGGGGGCCCTCGTCGCCACCGCTGGATTCGCCTCGAAGTCCTAGTCAGAACGCGCTCCAGGAGAGGTCCGGGGAGCAGCGGTATCGATACCTTTCCCCAACCTCCGCACCTCCGCTCCCCTCCCCCATCCCCCCTCTAGCGGACGCGCGTCGTGCTGCATGCTGCGGTCGTGGCTCCCCGGGGAGGCGATCGCTGTGGAGTCCAGTCCATCGTCCAAGAGGGGGAGGGGTGGGGCGAGGACCAGGGGGGGGGCTGGACATCATGGCCAGAGTCTTCAGATTTCATGCCCCCCTCTTTTTCTTTTTGTCTTCCTTGCATCATCACTGTGATTAGTATTATTGCAACTCCCGTTCTCCCTGTTCTTCTTATTATTCTTCGTCCCCTTCATACAATTATTGTGCTTATGTCTGAAAGAGCGCGTTCTGTGGTCGCTTGGGGGGGGGGGGGTTGGAACGGGACCCCTCCCCCCACCGTGGATGTAGGGGGGGGGGGTTCGAACTCCCCCCCCCTGGATGGGGGGGGGGGCGTTCGACCCCCCCCCCTCCCTCTCCCCTCCCCTCCCTGCTTCCCCTCTCCTCGGGTCGGCGCTGCGCTTGCGTCGGCGGCGGCTGGCGATGGCGGCGGGGACGACGATTTCCATTTCTGGGCCCGCGCCGGCGCCTGCGGCGGCGGGCGGCGGTGGCGGGGAGCGTCGACGAGGACGACGGTGGTGGTGGTGGTGTGGTGGGTTGTGGTGGTTGTGGTGGTGGCGGTGGTGGTGGTTGTGGTGGTGGTGGTGTGGTGGTTTGTTGTGGTGGTGGTAGTGGTTGTGGTGGTTGTAGTTTGGTGGTGATGGTGTGGTGGTGGTTTGTGGTGGTTTGTGGTGTTGGTGATGGTGGTGGTTGTGGTGTGGTGGTTTGTGGTAGTGGTGGTTTGGTGGTGGTGTGGTGGTTGCTTGTGGTGGTGGTGGTGGGTTGTGGTTGTGGCTGTGGTTTGTGGAGGTGGTGCTGGTGGTGGTGGTGGTGGCGGTGGTGGCGGTGGTGGTGTTGTGGTGGTTTGTGGTGGTGGTGTTGCGTTGTGCTGCTGGTTGTGGTGATTGTTGTGGCGGTGGTGGTGGTGGTGTGGTAGATTGTGGTGGTGGTAGTGGTGGTGGGTTTTTGTGGTGGTGGTGGTGGTGATGGTGAATTGTGGTGGTTTGTGGTGGTGATTGTGGTGTGGTGGTGGTGGTGTGGTGGTGGTTTGTGGTGGTGGTGGTTGTGGGTTGTGGTGGTGGCTGTGGTTTGTGGACGTTTGTTGTGGTGGTGATGGTGGCGGTGGTGGTGGTGGTGGTGTGGTTGTTTGTGGTGGTGGCGGTGGGTTGTGCTGCTGGTAGTGGTGGTGGTTGTGGCGGTGGTGGTGGTAGTGTTGTAGATTGTGGCGGTGGTAGTGGTGGTGGGTTTTTGCGGTTGTGGTGGTGGTGATGGTGAGTTGTGGTGGTTGTTGTGGTGGTGGTGGCTGTGGTGGTGGTGGTGGTGGTTGTGTGGTGCTGTTGGTGGTGGTGGTGGTGCGGTGGTGGTGGTGGTAGTGGTGGTGGTGGTGGTGGTAGTGTTGGTAATCGTCGCTGCGTCCCCGCCGTCGCCAGCGCCGGCGCTGCTGGCCGCCGCCATCGCCGGCGCCAAGGGGGGGGGGTGAGTTTTGACCCCCTCCCCCCTGGGAGGAGGGGGGGGGTTTGAAACCCCCCCCTGGGCTGCCTTTGGTCATCGTCGCTGCGACCCCGCCGTGGGCGCTGCTGGCGGCCGCCAGCGCCGGCGCCGGCGCCGAGGGGGGGCCGGGGGTTCGCGAGGGGGGGGGGGTTTGGGGGGAGGAGAATCCCCTCTGGTTTTGATCGACGGCGCCGAGTGTTGGGGGGGGCCCACCCCCCGGGTCGAAACGCGCCGCCGAATGTTCCCAAGGCATGCGCCCGTGAAACGCGTTTTCGTCTGTCTCCCTCTTGTTGTTGTTATTTAGCTTCTTCTTATTATGATTCTTCTGTCAACGCGTGCCCCGGCCTCCAGTCGTCCGCGCCCGTGCCTGGAGCCAGTGCGCGCGCCTTTCCCCCCCTCGCGGCCCCCGTCCTCGGCGGCGCACCCGGCTCCAGCTCGAGTGCTCGTCCTCGGGGAGGCTTGGGCGCTGGAAGCTGGACCCGCTGGTCGCCGGAGTCTCCTGCGCCCGCACAGTGGGGGCCCATGCGAAGAAACACCCCGCTTGCCTCCAAGGTGCCCCGGGTTTCTGGGGTTTCGATGGTTTTGCCATGGAAAGCGCGACGTTACCACACCAGACGTCAGTGGGCGTCCTGGGGTCTCAGGGTTGGGGGTTTCTGGCGGAAGGTTTCTTGTGGACGGGCCCCCCACTGTAGGCCTCCTGGATGGGGTCCGAACAGATAGTGTCGGAGGATCGCGCCGCATCGCCGATGCACCGGCGATGCGGCTCGATGTGGAGCCCGCGCTTCCCCACAACGACGTCGCCGTTGCATCGCCGACGTCTCCGATGTGTCGCCGATGCATCACTGATGCATCGCCGATGCATCGCCGATGTATTGGCGATGCGGCTCGATCCTCCGACCCCGCCTGCTCCGACCCCAGCCAGGGAGGCCCTCCTGCGCCCCTCGCGGGCCTCGGATTTCCATCTGGCTGCTGGGGCCCCGGTGGCGTCTCACCGGGGGCGAATCGTGGCGCGAAGCTGCGTGGTTGCAGGCTCAGTGGGCGTCCGCTCAGAGTCCTTCCCTGGACCCCTGCGGAACACCGTCCTGCACTGCTTCCAAGGGCCTCGTTTGCGGCCGCGGCGGCGACCCCCCCCTCCCGACGGCTCAGAAGGGAGGCGGAGGAGCAGGGTGTGTGCGTGTGTGTGTGTGTGTGTGTGTGTGTGTGTGTGTGTGTGTGTGTGTGTATGTGTGTGTGTGTGTGTGGGTGTGTTGAGACTGGCCTCGCTCGCATGTGGGCAGGGCCTAGGGGGCCCCAGGAATTCGTCCGTGGGATTCGTTGTCGATCGTTTTAACATAGCATTGAAAAGTCACTTTTTTCGTCCTTGAGATCATGCTTGCTTTTTGGTGGCGTGTTTTCCCGAGAAGGTGCGCACGCTATGCATGATGGTTGAACATCCCCGTGGTTTTCGGAGTTGTGGCGCCTGGTGACCTTGTTGGTTGATACCCTTTTGCTGCGAGGGCTCTGGCGGTTCCAGTCTAATGCACGCCTTCTCTGTACGAGGGTACAGAACATATTCGCTACTCATTCACCTCTTACATCAATTTCACTAGTTTCCTCCTCCGACGACAAAGACAGGTAACCATACGTACAGGCCTTCGCATTTGTTTGCTCTTGGAGTCTCTAGAAGGCTTCTTCGAGCCATTCTGGATCCATAGTCGGCCTTTTGTTTTGTTGTTCTTTTGAGTTTTCTGGGCCCTCATGGGGTCTCTCGTTTTTTTGTTTCGGGGGCGTTGGGGACCCTCTTGAAGCAAGTCTGGGGCAATCGATCAGCGAGGGGGGTGATTCTTGCTGAGGGCCCTCCTCCTGGAACCCGACGAATTATGTGTCGGAGGACCCTCTTCGATGCCCTCAAGGATCTCTTCTGGGACTCCCTTAGGGTCGCACTGAGCGATCTTGGGGTCATCTTGAGGCCCCAGGAGCCCCCTTCCGGAAGCGAAAGGGCCGCTGGATCCGGGCTGCTCGGGCGGCTTCGAGTCCCCTTGAAGCCGCCCTTGTGGTGTCCTCAAGCCTTTTGAAGGCATGTCGGACGCCATGGTGGCCCAACTTGGCCACTCTGGCGCCGCCTTGGAGGCCACTTTGGGGTGCCCAGCAGGGCCATCCTGGAGCCACGTCGAGAGCCAGGGGCCCCTCCAACCCGTCGCGGGGGGCCCGCGTCAGGCCCCGAGGGAGGGGCAAACCCTTCACCCAAGGGGGAACGAAAATTAAGTCGGGCCTGTCCCTCTACAGGAGGAAAATCCAAAAATAGTAAAAAAATAATAGGGGGACGATTTTTTGACCATTCTGACCATTTTGGCATATTTTTTTGATCATTTTCTATTCTTCCTCCAAAACCCCCCTGTACTGGGCGCGTCAAGGCGGTTAGTAAGTAGATAGCCCCAGTGTAGTTGAGGTATAGTGTCGGTATAATCTACATATAATTCCGTCATCTTCGGTTGATCCGCCCTAAGTGATTCACAAGCGCCCCGCCTCCTTAGGCTGCTTAGGGTATCCAGCTTCGGCTGGTCGAGGCCTTACTATCCTGGTTAGTATAACCTCCTATCGGAGTTCAGGGTGGTTCCGTATGGCGGTTACATCTAGATACGAATGTGGTTCTAATGGGGTTAGCTATGTTGGCGTTAGGCTGGTTAGGTATCGTGGTTACCACAAGTCGGGGAGCGTTTTTCGATTGCAGCAAGCCCCGATATGAAGCGCAGGGCGCAGCGATTCTGGTAACATACCCCCAGAAAATAAGTTCCCACTTCAAAAAAACAAGCCGAACTACGAGCATATCCACGATCGCAAGCAACAAAACAAATTCAAACAAACGAGATGCATGAACCGTGCCAGCAGCAGCAGTGAGCAGGACTTGGCAGCAGTCACGTACACGCGAGGCTCAGCAGTACGTGCGCCGATGGGGATGATGATGATGAGGAAGAGGAGGAGGGGTAGCTGAGGAGGAGGAGGAGGAGGATATTTTTGGGGAACGCACAGAAACAAAACCAGACATGCGTAGCCACACTGGCCCAAGCCGTTTCGGCAACCCCCGCCCCGCGGGGCAGAGTCGGTGCTCACGTCATCGGTGGGCCTCCACGGCAGCCAGCCATGCCCATGCATCAGAGCTTGCAAGCCGTCCTCACTGAGTTGGCTTCGGGCTTGTCGGCAGTGGTCCAGCAGTACCAGAACGCAGATGAGCAGGGCGCGCGGCAGCAGAAAGCAGCAGCTGATAAGATGGTGCAGCTGCTAATCGAGAGAGAGCTGGCTTACAGGATGACGGTGAAGCCCGACGACGTCGGGGTTCACCCAGCTAATCGGTTCGGCGTCGGCGTCGAGTGGCACGAGGTGCACGCGCTGGCAGGCATCATCATTCGGTCTGGTTGGAGCTGGTCCGAGGTGAAGGACCCCGTTGCCATAGAGCTCGGCAGCGCGCAGCTGGGCTCGGCGCAGATGCGCTTTAACGAGGAGCTCGCTGCCACGAGCGAGGGGTACTTGGCAACGATCTCGAACACGCTGAAAATATTGAGCATCGCTTGCAGCCACACCAACCAGGTCCCACGCTGCGTTCTTCATTGTACGAAGAGCTACGAGACGGAGTTCACCAACGAGGATGGGTACATCAGCCAAGACGCTGTGTTCAGGGCGTGCACCAGCATCAAGGAGGCAATCGATAAGGGCCTCACGTGGATTGTCATCCGATCCGAGGTTGCAGAAGCGGTGCCAGGTCTTCCAGCGTTCCTTTCCGAGTCGCACAACATAGGGCACGGATCGCATCGATTGCAAAGCAAGGTTCAGACATTGTTGCAGATCCACACAAAGATATCCAGGACCATGAGGGCGAAAGGCAGCGCGAACATCCAGTCCGTGATAAGGGACATTGAGCACACGCGCCCGTACCTTCGTGGTCAAGTCGAGGCCATGGCTACGTGCGTGCAGCAGTTCAGCGGTGGCGAGCCGCCCGTGTTCCTGACTGAGCTGAAGGAGTTTGCCAAGACGCTGGGGGACCACACTCGCGACGTCGGGGCGGTGACTTTCAGTATTCTTGGGAAGGCTCGCTTGTCGCAGGCCCCCGAGTGGGTCACAGCTTGCATGAAGGCGTCGCTCGGAGCACCTGAGCAGTTCGTCAGGGACGGCGGCGTTCGGCTAATCACAAGCGCTGACATACAGGCCGTGGAGTCAGGGAGGCTTCGCACTATGGCTTTCGACGCAGTGGCCAAGCACCGCACTGCTGTTCAATACTTGAGGGACGGCTGCAAGGTGACGGACGCCCACTTGTTTGCCAAGCTCATCGGCGACCTCGACGTGCGGATGGTCATGACCACGTACGGCAAGAAAGCTCGCGGGCGCAAGCAGTTCGACGACCTAGACTCTGTGGTGCAGCAATTCGTTCGCGACGTGGTCGCAGCCTGGCCCTCGGCCGCGGGAGTGGACCCCCCCCGGGCGGTGACCGCGCCCGACGAGCCGAAGATCATCACGACCCCCATGGTGCAGTTCGATGCGGGATCGAGCTCGTCAGGCCACGTCGTGAACACCAGCGTCCTGGAGAGCAAGGGTTTCGTGATCGCGGCGAAGGTCAAGGGCAGGGGCGGCGCGGGCGCGCAGGGCGTGTGGATCATCGCGGCGGTCGACGCTGGCAAGGTTTGGCTCTCTCCGCCTTGACCTGCCCCTCCTCCTTCGCTCCTCCTCTCACTCCATGCACCATCTCGCCTTCGCAGGTCAAGCTGTTCAAGGACGACGGCACTCCTGTTCCAAAGTTGTTCAAGGACGACGGCGCGCCCGTTCCCAAGAGGCGCAAGGCAGATTGCGAGCTCCAGGTTTCGGTCAGCCAGCTCATTGATGACTTCGAAGTGGTCTCCGAGGATGCGTCGACGGTCGTGCAGGTGACGGGCGGAAGCGCCATCGGGCTCCTGAGCAAGGAGGTGGCGAGCGAGCTGAAGAGGTCTTTCGTCAGGCTGGCCCCCGAGAGCGCATGCAGGGAGCAAGCCCCCAACGTTGGGCTCACCATCACGTTCGCGAAGGCGGGCAAGAAAGTCGAAGCCAATAAGAAGTATGCGAAAGGTCAACTCGAGCTGATCCCACTGACCCCAAACATCGGATTCGGCGCCAAGGCGCCGCAGAACGGGATCCTCGTGAACATGAAGATGCCAGAGTCCAAGCACGAGATGTGGCTGCTCCCGAAGACAACCTTGCCTGGTGAGAAAGCACCGCAATTCATCGTGCCCGCCTGGTGCGTCCCTTCGGTTTCAGACTCCGCGAAGGTGAACATGGCATGGTCCACGGCGAGGGTGATGGTGCGCACTTTCTGTGCCGAGTCAGAGTCGAAGCGTTTTGACGATTTTACGTGCGTGCTCCCCTGCCTAGTCAACACGAAGGTGATTGAGAAAGGCAGCGAGCTTTTTCTGAAAAGCGCAGAGACTGGCGTTGCGCAGAAGCGGTAGAGCGCCGCTTCCTCACCGCATCACCACGCTGGCCAGTGCATTACTTAAACGATACCCCAGGACACCCAACATAAAATCCAAGGGCGTGAAACTCCAAGGGCTTGAAACTTTATCTCCAACATCACCGCCAACAGTATCACTGGCCAGCCTTTTCAGGAATCGCACGTGGGTGGTTTTGTTTGGCTGGCGGAAGCGTTTCTCCTGTGCCATGCAGTGCCCACGATGACTCTTGTTCGAGCGGTCGTTGCCAGGCCGCGCGAGCCCCGCTACCAGTGTGAAAACAATTATGATGGTGCAGCGTTTGAGAAGATGGCTACGGCTATAGGGATGAGGAGTAGAGAGAAGAGGGTAGGAGAAGGGAGTGGAGAAGATGATCAAGATATCAGGAGAAGTAGGATAGGATCGAACGTACGCCAGGCTTCACCATCGCAAGTACGCAAGCAGAACAAACGCACAAAAGCAGAACAGATGCACCAAGATCACATGAACACAAACGTTAGGCTGGCTACGTCAGCATCCCCTGATCAGATGCAAGGCCGCGGCTCGAGGATGTGTGGGCACGATGATTGCGAGTACGAGGAGGGAGGAGGAGGAGGATGAGGAGGAGGAGGAGGAGGAGGAGGAGGAGGACGCAAAGCACACGTGTGTTTGTTGTACAAACACGAGGAGGGGGAGGCGGAGGAGGAGGAAGAGGAGGAGGAGGCGGAAGATAAGGAGGAGGAGGAGGAGGAAAAGGAACAGGAGGAGGAGGAGGAAGAGGAGGAGGAGGAGCGGCTGTTTCAAAAGATTTGGTCGCCCCTCCTCCTCATCATCCTCATCCTGCTCTTCCCCCTCATGACCCCCCCCTCCTCGACCGCCGCCCGCGGCCGCTGCCGCCGCTGCATCGGAGAGATCGTGATGGTGCCGCAGGACCGCCCACCGCCGCGCCCCCGCTGAGGGGGAGCAGGAGGAGAGGAGGAGAGGCGGAGGAGGATGAGGAGGATGAGAGGAGGAGGAGGAGGAGGAGGAGGAGGAGGAGGAAGAGGGAGAGGAGGAGTAGGAGGAGGGGGGAACGGAGGAGTAGGAGGAGGATGATGACATACGTGCTGGCCTCTATTCCATTTCGTGGGTGGCGCGAAAATCTCCCTCGACAACCCCCCCCCCCCCCCCCTATAAGGATCCTTAGGTGGGGTTTTCCAGAAACACATTTCCAAGGCTTCTGGAAGCGCAGATGGCTTCCGCAGAAGCTCCTGGAGTCAAAACTGTGTACGCAGATTCCGCGTGCGATCTATTTGGTAATGCCGCCCGCGTTTCCGCCCCTGGGGAGGACGAGTTCGCACCGTGCTGGCGCGGAGGAGGAGGGGGAGGAGGAGGAGGAGGAGGGGGAGGAGGGGGAGCTCCAGGAGGAGGAGGAGGACGAGGACGAGGACGAGGAGGAGGAGGAGGAGGAGGAGGAGGTGGAGAAGAAGGAAGGGGGGAGGACGACCAGAAGGAGGAAGGGGGGGCGGATCAAGGGTTCCGTGGGCCCTGGGGCCAAAGGGTTTCTGAGCCACGTGTTCCTCTCCAAGGGCTTTCAGTGGTTCCGAGGGCTATGTGCCAAAGCATGTCGGGAATTGCAACCCGTACTCTATGCAAGAGCCTCGGGGGGAGGGGCTTCGACACCGCGGTGTCGTGGGCCCTTGGGGTCACGAAGTCCGCCTACTATCCTGCGTCGCGTCCCCCAAGGGCCATGGGGGTTTGGGTTTCAAGAGGGTTGTCCCCGACAAGTTCTTGAACCACGGTTTCGTCTCCAAAGGCTTCGGGTAGCTTGGGGCCTGCAGCTGCTTAGGCCTCTGGGGCCACTGCTTCTGATTCTGGGGTTTCGGGGTCGCACAGGCAGATTCCGTCGGCTTCGTCTCTGTAGGCCTGAGGAGGCCCGACTCCTGCCTACGGAGGGTAACCCAGCACCGCCGCCTCCTCCCCCCCCCTCTTCCTTCTCGCCATCCTCCCCCCTTCCCCTCCCCCATAGCCATTTGGGCTCAAACACAAGTTCTGGTTCAGGTTCCGAAGCCTCAGCCTCTGCGCCAGAATTCGCACGCCATGCCAGTGTCCATTCAATCAGGCTACGTGTGCGTGTCTACTGACGGCGCGCCGCCGTCGCCAGCGCGCAGCTGGGTCGCGGCGACGGTCCAGGTGGAGAACAGGACGTTCGTATACTGCGACAGGAGGGACGCGAGGTTCGCCAAGCTGTGCGGCAGCTCGTTCGCCATGCTGGAGGCCATCGTGGCAGCGCGGAACGAGATGGTCGACAACTTGATGGCAGCTGTCGGTCGTGCCGGCGACCCGCTCGCCGAGGAGGACGTCGTCGAGGAGCGCCCGCCAAAGCGAGCGCGCAGGGAGCTCATCGATGACATCGAACCATTCGTGGAAGTTGCAGTGTCCATGGCCGACGGCTCCACTGCGAAGATCAACGTGCTCACGACCGCCCATCATCGTGACAAGCTGGCTGTAGAGCTCTCCACCAGCGTGCTCGAGCTCCTCGAGAAGGCGCCACTGCCGCAACAGACGGGCGAGGTGAGGCCAGCCCTGTCGTCTGCGCACGTCCACTGGCTTCCTTGCAGGCACTCTCTGAGGGTGAAGTACTACGACGCTCAGGCGAGGAAGTGGAAGCAGAAGTCTGTCCAGGTGCCATTGTCGGGCTGCCCGACGCAGCGCGTGGAGCGCATCACAAAAGAGCTGGAAGCCTTCTACCAGGGGCACCACTCCGAGGACCAGGGCGAGGCCGCTGCCATTGGCGGCGCCTGACGCTCGGCCACGGCACCGACATGGCGGCGTGCCGATGCGCGTCGGATGCATGGGGCGGCTTAGGGTTCAGCTGCTCCAGCGTGCTCGCGACGGGGAAGCGAGGCGCTCAGCTGGCGGCGCCAGCGCAACGAAACGAGCATGTGCAGATTGCTAGAGGAGGAACTCAGGGAGGAGGGAGGGGTAACAGCAGACAAAAAACAAGGCAGCAATGCACCGCCATAAGGCAATCATGAGCATGTCTGACCGCAAACACACGTGCAACCCAACGTAGGCTGCGAAGAAGCTCAGATGCACCAGTGCGCCCAGACGCGTTGGTGCATATGCACCAGTGCGCCCTGGCGCGCTGGTGCGTGCACCCCCCCCCCATGCGATGCACCAGTGCGCCCAGGCGCGTTGGTGCATATGCACCAGTGCGCCCAGGCGCGTTGGTGCATCTGAGGCTTCTTGAGGGTACCGACCAGACGGCCTCGCGGGGAGGCTGCGTGAAAGCTCAGGGGACGTATGATGTTGAGCGCGTCGGTGTAAATTCAGCGCCGTTAAGGCCTTTCTCACCAGGGGGTATGGAGAAATGTCGGCCCTTTGGAAGAAGAGGAGGACCACCCAGCCCGGCCTTTTTTCAGGAAAAACCGGCCTTGAAATGGCCGCAGGCCGGCCTAAATGGGTAGCCCTCGGGTCGGGCCCTTGAATAGGCTCTAGCATCGGTGTTTCCACGTGCACTTCAGGCAAGCTCGCCCTCTCGATCCCCCCCGCTCGCATCCGCAGCCATTTTCAGACAACTTTTGCAGGATTGCCTATCTCCAAAGCGTCGGCCCGACCAAACTCAGTAACCATGGACTTCGAGGCCCAGCGCCTGTGCACGATCATTTCGCAGCGCCTGTCTTTCGTGTCCTCCCAGGTCGGAGCAGGCATGCCTGAGGCCGTCTTGCTTCAGGCTCAGGCGAACTCGCTCGTGGCGACCTTCAGCTCCTCCACGGGGATTTCCCTTTCGGTGGCCACGCAGGTGACCGAACATATCAGCAAGGGCCCGTGGACGCCTGACCAGAAACTCATGATGGCGACGGCTCTGAACGACGCCGCCGCCGCCCAGGAGTTGACCAAGAAGTCTGGTAAGACTCGCTGCCTACAGACTTGCTCGGACCTGCAGCTCTTCCTCACTGCGTCTGACTGGGGCGCGCTTAACAACGCCATGCTGTCGGATGAGGCGAAGGCCCAGACATTGGGCGCTCGCATGTGGCGCGTGGGCATCACATGCCCTTCTGAGAAGACCCTGAAGGCAGCTGCTGGCATTATCGTCGCCTGCACCTACTCGGACATTGGTCAAGTGTCTGGCTCCCAGAAGGTGAAGCTCTGCGACAAGGTCCAGGAGGTCGTGAAGGGCATCGACAAGTCCAAGGTATACCCTCACGGTCACCAGAAGGACTTCACGCTGCCATCGGCGCTCACACCTGCTCAGCACAGGTTCGCGTACCCCGACGCCTCTGACCCGCCAGTGGCTGCGCCAGCTGGCTTCGACATGAGTGGCACCAACATGTGCCGCAGGAAATCTTCCAGCCAGGTGACAGGACGAACGCTCAAGGTCAATGGGCCAGCGAGCTCGGCAGATCAGCCGCCAGCCCTGCAGCTGGCACTCCCGCAGGCTCCGCAGACGCAGGCCCAGCATTGCCCCTTGCGGCTCTTGGCGGGATTGGCAAGCCAGGCGTTCGGCAACAACCCATTCGCAGCGATGCAGCCTTTCGCTCAGCAGTTCGGCATTCAGTTTCAGCCCAGCCACTTCGCCAACCAGCTCGGCGCGACCTCGCCCTACGCGCAGACTGCCAGCGCCCCCGTCATGGCTGACCGCGCGCGCGAGCCAGCTGAGGAGCTTGACGAGGCTCGCGACGACGCCTTGCCAATCCCCGACTCGCCCATGGAGCCAGAGGATGAGGTCGCACAGCTAGAGCGGGACATGGCGGCGTCTGCCAAAGCCAAGAAGGCCAAGGAGTCGGCGGCGGCTGCGACCGCCAGGAGCAAGGCCAAGAGCAATGCCAAGGGCAAGGCCAAAGGCAAGGCGAAGGCCAAGGCCTCACCCAAAAAGGCCTCGCCTAAGAAAGGCCTCGCCTAAGGCCTCGCCTTGCCGCAAGCCAGCTGCTGCGGCGCCTAAGACAGCCCCGCGCACTGTGAGTTTTTCCGAGTATTTGAAGCCCCACGATGCCAAGGGCAAGTCTCGCGGGGCATTCACAGGCAGGGCGTATGACAACACTAGAAGGAACGCCATCAGGGCTGGCCTGTC